TAAAATAATAAATCAAGCCTTCTGAAACATGGAGTCAGATCCTCATCTCTTCCCTCATCCTAAGACCCCTGTGAACACGGTCATGTATAATTTTCTTTTAATATAATATACATTATATATATATATATATGAAATATATATAATAAAATAATAAAACAGCCTTCTGAAACGAGTGAAGATTCTCATCTCTTCCCTCGTCCTGGGACCCCCGTGAACACCACCACAAACCCCATGCCAGGGCGCTGCCGTCACCTGCTGATGCTGTTCTTCTGTGCCAGCAGCTGCCAGTCCTTGCCCTTGGCGCCGGGCGCGTCGAAGGTGGCGCAGATGCGCTGCCGGATGGAGCGCGGGATCTTGAAGGCCTTGGGGCCCAGCTGGGCAGGGAAGGCGCTGTCCTCGTGGCCAAAGAAGGGGATGTTTTCTCTCTCAGCCTGCAGGGAAAGGAGAATCGAGCCTCAGGCTGCTTGAACTGGCAACAGAAAATGGCTCAGAGGTTAAAGCGGCTGTGCTGGGGTTCGGGGTGTCCCCAGCAGGCTGCAGAGGGGTCCGGATTGTGGGAATCCACAAAATCAGAGGGTTTTGGGAAAGCTTCAAAAGCAGGCCTCAGAAACAGCAGAACTGTGATTAGTGCTAAGCAGCAGCCATGAGATTGGTCAGCAGAAAAATTATTTAAACTGTAGAAAAGCAAGGACATATAGAACAATGGGCTGTGTATTAATGCTTGTCTAGAATAAATCTCTAAGCTACAGAAAAGTTTATCTAGGCAGATATTAGGAAGCTTGAAGCTTGATAATGGAGCTCTGTGCATTGTGTTTTAAAGCTCACAAGCAGGTATTGTATCTAAAATAAGCAAGCACTGTTTTAACCAAAGGTACCTGTGCTTATAGTGATTGGATAGAACTACTGTCAATGTGCTTTTTCTTTGTGTGATTGGTCAAAAAACTTATAAAGTGAGTTGTAACATTAAGTTCTTAGTCTGCTGCCTGAGATGTGAGCTGCTGACATCATCTCATTGTTATAACCATGGAATGAGACTGATGCTGGAAAATAAAACAGCTCAAAGCACGTTCCCAGCAGTCCTGTCCTGTTTGTGATTTGTACAGAGACCCCAGCCAGCATCACTGATAGCTCTGACCTGGGATAGCTCTGACCTGCTCGGCACAGCTTGTCCAAGTTCCCAATAAGTTTTTAGCCACAGGCAACCTTAGCAAGCTTAAGTGATATCAGCTCTTTAGTGATTATCTGCTCATTGTGACCTCAGCTCTTCGCTTTATAGGTGCCTGGGCAGGCAGACACAGGGAGAGAGAGGAGAAGGCTGTGTGGGATTCCACAGGAGCATCGTTATTGAATCTTCTGCAAAGGTTCTCAGTGACAGCTCTTCTGCCCGAGCTGGGCAAAAGTAGCTCTTTTTATAAAGAGTTCAGGGGTTTTGGAAATTGTTCAATAGCAAGGGTTAAAAGAAAGTGACCTATAGTCTTACAGAGAGATAAGCAAGGCGTTCAAAGGCAGAAGAAAGCAGTTTCTAAGGTTCCAGTCACCATGAATTGGCATTTCCTATCTTGAGCTTCTGAACACCAGGAAAGTGTTGCAGGCTCTGGGCCTGCTACAAGAGGTGCTTCTGTGAGTTGTGAAAGAACACCCAGAAGGTGTTCCTTCACCATCACAAGGACTGGTGCATAAAAACCTTTAAAATTTTGGCTTTTCCTTCCATAAGCTTTATTTTTTGGTTATTTTTGTCTTGCAGAGCAGTGCTGGGTTTCTAAATCTTTAATTTCTTAAACCCCAAACATGGGCACAAAAATTTGTGTTTGTTTCTTTATTTCTTTGGGTTTTCTTAAACACCTGAATTCCTTAAACACCTCAGCTCTCCCAGATTCTCTGGAATCCAGGTCCTTTGCAGATCTGGCCCCTCTTTTCCTGTGGAATCACACCAGCCTTGCATAACAGAGTCAAATTTCAGTGCATTACTCATCCGAGAGTGACACAGCATCAATATTAACCAGCAGCAGTGACGATGCTGCAGCCTCCATCCACCATTTGTGACGGGTCCCCAGGGCCAGCCAGGCTCGGCACCCGGTGCTGCAGCTCTGCCCTGGGCTCTGCTCAAGATGCAGAGCAGGAGAAGCTCCTGCCCTGCACGTGTGAGATAAGCACAGCGACCCGGGCGCTGCGGGGATTGTCGCGCACGGAGCGGCTCCGGGGGGGAGTTGTCACTCACAGAATTTATTTCGCAGTCAAATTATCCTCCCTCTTCAATCACTGCTGGAGATAGGCATGAGAAAGCCTTCCAGAGCAGTAAATCTGCTTGAAGCAGAACGGGAACATGCTCTGGGGACTTGTGTACTGACAGGGCCCTTAAAAACACAGCAGAGAGGGAGAGCAAGGCAGCGGCAGCACGGGCTGGAGGCACAGAGAGTGACAGAGGGGTTTTATGAAATAACAGTAAAGGAGCAGAAAACACTTGGCCAGTTCTGAGTTTTTATATAAAATGATGTTCATGTTCTCTTGCCCAGCTGCTGCACTTCCTTCTCAGACCATTTATGGGTGTAGAACTCTAATCCAGCATTATTAATCTGGATTAATCAACAAAGATGCTCAATAATCTAAAAAATGCAGCTGCTGAAGTTCTCATGGCTGTGGGACAGATGAACAGTTTGCTCAGCTGTAGGTCTGATTTGTTTTGGCCATGAGCAGGGCTCAGTCCTCACAAGGCACAGTTTGTACCCCTGTCCCCAGCTCTCAGTGCTCTGCAAAGGCTTCTTGCTAGGAAACTACAGCCACCAACCCAAACAATCAATTATTAAATTATTGATAAATTATTGTTGGTGCTGCAGAGTCTCTGTGCCTTGATTTCCGCTGGAAATTGGATCTGCAAGGCTTTGAAGACTGCTTCCAGCTTCGAGCAAAAACTACAGGAGGAAAGCACAAAACTGGGGAGGAAACCGGTGGGCAGAGAAGTGGTGCCCCCTCTTTGGAAGGGTCCAAGGGGTGGGATGGTGGCAGGTGGCACTGCCCATGGCAGGGGTGGCGCTGGGTGGGCTTTAAGGCCCTTCCAAGCCAAGCCAAGCCAAGCCAAGCCAACCCAACCCAACCCAACCCAACTCAACCCACCCCACCCTACCCCACCCCAGGATTCTGTTCCATGACCACCCCGCCCTGCAGACCAGAGGGTGCTGGTGTCTGTACCTCGAGGACGGAGGTCTGGATGTGCAGCAGCTGCTCGTGACCCTGCAGCTGCCTGACACACACGGTGCAGCACAGCTGGGTGGTGGCGGGGCTGAAGCGCTCCAGGGAGAAGGCGCCGAGCAGGGGCCGGGGGCTGCCGCGCCACACGCGGGAGAACGGCACCTCCTGTGGGACAGGGACACGTCAGGGACAGGGGACACGGCCTGGGGACACACACAGTGCTGCTCTGCTGGGGTGGGCTGGGTAATGGCACCTCCAGCTCCGAGCAAAGCCAGAAAATGAGGATTGAGTTGATGGAACTGAGGTGTGGCAGTGACCGAGAGCTCAAAGGAAGAAGTAATGGGAGATTCTTAAAAAAGGTGCTTAAAGAGACTTCAAAAAGATGCATTTCACTTCCTCCCTCTTGCCGGGATCAGGATTCCTCTCTGTGCTTCCTTGGAGTCACCTTGTAAGCAGAATGCAAGGAAACTTCCCACTGAGAACTGCCAGCCCTCCCCTCTCCACCCCAAAGGAACTTCCCACCAGGTACTGCCCTGGCATTGCCAGCCTTTCCTTCTCCATCCCAAAGGAATTCTCCACCAGGAACTGCCCTGGCCCTGCCAACCTTCCCTTCTCCATCCTAAAGAAACTTCCAACCAAGAACTGCCCTGTCAGCCTTTCCTTCCACATCCCAAAGGAATTTCCCACCAGAAACTGCCTTGGTCCTGCCGCCCTTCCCTTCTCCATCTCAGAGGAACTTCCCACTGAAAACTGCCCTGGCCCTGCCAACCTTTTCTCCTCCACCTCAAAGAACTTTGCACCAGGAACTGCCCTGGTCCTGCCACCCTTCCCTCCTTCATTCCAAAGGAATTTCCCACCAGAATCTGCCCTGGCCCCTCCCTCCTGCCCCAGCTCCCTGCCTATCCTCAGCCCCAGACTGGATCCCAAGCTGGGAGCAGCTGCAGTAGTAAAATGCTCCCAATGATAAAGGAAACATTAGCAAAATGTTAGAAGCGGAGCAGCTGTAATTAGATTTTTTTCAGGGTGATGATCTCTGCTTTCACTCCGAGTAGAAGAATCACTCAGCTGAAAGGAGCTGTGTGAAACAAAGCAGAGCAGCAAGGAGTGCTGCAACAATGAGTGCTTGGAGTATTCCAGAGATGCTTTCAGCTCCACTCTGCGTTTATAATTAAGCTCCTCGCAGACAGAGGGGCTGTAAATCATCTCGTGGCCCCAGGCAGAGCTGGATCCTCCAGGAGATGCAGATCTGAGCAGCCAGAGGTGCCTGCCCAGCTCCTGCCATGCCCATCCCTGCTCTGCCTGCACCACCCACATCTCTCAGGGATCCCCGGCGGGAAGGGAGCCAAGCCCTGGGCCAGGACAAACACAGGCTCTGAGCAGGAATCCTGGTGCCACCTGCCACCAGCTGCCTCCCAGCAGCTCCTCAGTGTGATTTATTCATCTGCTCGGCCTCCCTGAGACATCATTTCCATAAATCCTCCTCCCCACGCTGCCCGGGGAGGCTCTGCTGCTGGACCAGAGACATTCCTGGAACAGGCTGCGTTCAGTTGTTCCTGCCAGGCAGCACAAGCAGCTGCTCTCACAGGGTGGGACGTAGGAGAGGAGCCCAGGGAACACTGGAAGAAACTCCACGTGCAAAAATAGATCCTTTTCTCTATAAAGGGGCTGGAAGCAAACCAGAGCTGTCACCAGACTTTTCACTGCGAGGGAAGCACCGAGCCAGGGGAGGTTCTGCAGCTCCTCTGAGGAGCAGTGATTGTGTTTCTGAGCTGCCCAAGGCATCCCAGTTACACCAGTTATAAAATGCAAATTTTCCTCAGGGTCAGGGCAGCCCTGGGTTTGGCACAGGCTTTTTTCCAGCCCTGAGCCCCTGCTCTGATCAGGCTCGAAGTGGC